AGGGAAGCCAGATCACATGTGGGTGACGAGAGTTTGAGTCCCCACCTTGTTGACTTGGAAAAAACATGCTGGACAGGTGCATGTGTGCCCAGGATCCTAATGGGATAGAGAATTGGAGGAAAAGGATTGCAGTATGACTACGCCCTATGCAGGGTGTGTGTGTGTGTGTGTGTGTGTGTGTGTGTGCTCACTCTGAGTATTGGACCACTTCCACACTTGCAGAATTGCCCTTCTCGTATACACACAGAATCTATATTGGGAAACTAAAGAACTGATACTTTATTCTTTAAAGTTATGTCAATTGAGGGTGTAGACTTTTTCTAGCACTGTAATAAACTCTATAGGAGCCCTTCTAAAATTTGTCTACTTAAAAAATCCCTAGTGGTTAATTGGTTAATGATCAGTAAGGCATGAAAACCTATTACTTATACTGAGGACTGGGTACAATATAAGCAAAGATCACTTAACAGTGTTTCAAAAACACTTGGGGATGTAAATATTTGACTTAGGGCTAATTATTACAGATACTTTGCATTTGAAAAAAAACAGTGTGGCACTGGCTCATAGCCTAGGAGTGAAGGGGTTTGGATCCCACATGGCTGATCATAATTTGAGTCCCAATCCTGTGGCTTGAAAAATCAAACTGGGTGCATGTTTATGCATGCCCAACGGGATGGAAGCAATACAGCATTAGGGCGTAACCATACCCCATTAGAGGGTGGTTTCTCACTCTTTCTCTCTCTCTCCTTCTCTGCCTCTCTCTGGTGTCCACTTATGCCTTCTGGCAAAAGAAAAGTCCTATAAATCATTTGAAATATTTTTTCATTAAAAATTTAAAAGTTGGGTACCTGGATCAACCCAGGAATGCTAGTTTTCCTGGTGGCACTTATGTAGGATACTGATGGTTAGTACTTTATCTTGAGCTGTACCTAAGAGGTTTGCATGGAAAAATGTATTCTTTCTGACCAGGAATTCCATCCTCTTTTTGAAGACACAGAAATTACAAAGCTTCTGCTAAACGTACTTTAGTATATGTTAACGTTTCTTCTTTAATGCTTATGTATTGATCATTATCGGAATCCTATGTTAATTAAAATAAGAGCAAAATGTAATTCTGATTTTAGATCTGATGAATTCTGTAACCCTTTAAATAGGTACGGCAACAGTTCCATGATGCTAAGTTCATGGCAGACATTGACCTGGATCCTGGCTGCACCCTGAATAAGAAGATCAGAAATGCACAGTTAGCGCAATATAACTTCATCCTAGGTAAGAAAGGAAACTTACCTTAAAAAGTTTCCCAGATCTTAGGGAACTTCACTGAAATACTGGGATTTAGGCTTAGTAAATGGTCAAAAACTTATTGACTTCAGTTCTGATTCTTAAACTGTTAGGCCTCTTCAGTTGATTTAACACAGGAAAATTCAAAGTTTTGTCTAAAAATATTCTCCCTAGCACCTCACTTTTTTCATATGGTAAGTTTTTAAATTGGCTGGATTAAACGACTTAGCACAGTGGCTTTAAGTATTGCAAAATTTATTTTTTTTAAACGAATAGATCTTTAAGTAAGTTGCCACAGTATACATGGTCACCTATACATTTTGTTACATCAAAAGCTACAGAGTGTTTTTTGGGTCCTGGCATCATTTCTGTTCAGATGTTCATATGAGTCCTTTCATATATTTTGATATTTAGACTGAAGTCTAACAAAAGTTTGTGTCTTTTGTTTCAGTTGTGGGTGAAAAGGAGAAAACCAGTGGCACTGTTAATATCCGCACGAGAGATAACAAAGTCCACGGGGAACGTACCATCTCTGAAACCATCGAGCGGCTGCAGCAGCTCAAACAGTCCCGCAATAAACAGGCAGAAGAGGAATTTTAACCAGGAGTCTTGCTGAGAATGGCTCAGTGGAGAAGGGGCAGCAGTGTTTCTGTAACTCAGCTTTGTACTCCAGAAAACATCCACGCTGACCTTGGAACAGTTTGGCAGAGTCTGCATAGTTGTTTCCAGGATCAGCCTTTTTTGACCTACAAAGGCTTTAGACAATGTATGAAGGAGTTAATGAAAACAGACCATTAACATGATTTTCATTCAACACCTGAGCTCTGGGAATAAAACGAGGAATGATTTAGTGTAATGTGATACAACTTTTTAATACATTTAATAAGAAGTAATCATTTTCAAATTCAATTAAAAAGAAAAAGTAGAATTGGACATACACAAGCATACCAGGAACGAATTGTGATTCAGTATTTAGAGTTTTACGAGAAATAGGATGAGGGGGCAAGTGTTCAACGCATCTTTTTCTCAAACTAGGATGTGAGCTTGGTGCTGGCTTTTCAGTTACAAATATACTTTTATTTTTTTCCAGTGTCATTTTTACTTCTTTTTGCATGGACACCTTTTAAAACAACAACCAGGGGTTTATTATAGAATAGATAGTTGATTTGCACCAATTTCTAAGCTAAAGAATGAATCTTCAAAGAAATACCTGTGTATGGCTCTGTGCTGGGCTGTAGAATCGTGTTAAATTTCTTCTTCTCATAATAATTATAAAGTTTCTCTACCAGTAGATGGTGATTAGAAGAATGCCACACAATAAGGAATTAACTCTATGGATATGTGTGAATTCCTCTCTGATGTAGTCTTATTCTTTTGTTTATTTCTTCCATGAATGAGTAGAGACAGAGATAGGCAGCCAAGCCCAACAGTCCTCAGGGCACGATCGTCAGCTTCAACCAGCCTTCCCGACTGGGTGCACAGCTGGCATGTCAGGGAGGTCTCTGGACACTAACCTGGGACGTTCCTGTGCGTCAGCCTTCCAGAATGTTGCATTACTGCTGCGCCACCATCTGTCCCCAATATAATACATATTTCAAAGATGTTACTTTGTCAGTTCTATTGTAACCCCAGATAGTTCGTTTGCAAGTGTCAAGTCAAAGAGAATCCAATTTGCATAGATTAATCCTCACTTTAACATAAGGGATAAGATCTTTAATTATAGGGAGGCTTTGTTTTCTTTTTGAAACTTTAGAATGAAGCCTTGCTTCTGAATGTCTTGAGAGTTAGCTTTTGGTAGGTTTTTAATTAATTTTACATATGTCTGAGGGAAACTTAATTGTATACTTAACCAGTCTGCATTCTCAAGTCACGATACTACAATGTACTATCTCATTTCAAAACATTTCTTTCTTTAAAATTCACAGTATCTTTGGGTTTTTCTTCAGTTTTGGAAAATATTATGTAGAACAATTTTAAATGATTTTCATTCTGTATAGTCTGAAGACCAACTGCGGTTTAAGATATTGTTTCGGTGCTTGTTTTATGTTTAAAGCAATAAATGGCTTATGTGATTAATAATCTTAAAATGTTTAGAGAAGCTGTATAATCTTTTAAAATGTAGGAAACAAAAAAAAATATTTTTTCAGAATGTGGATGACTTTCTCCCATTTCTTTGTCTTCTGCTGTTTGTACAAGGAATCCATATCTGTGCAATTTTGTTGTATATCACTTTCATTTTTTTCTCTCTGATAATAAAGATTTAAAGATCTCTTAGCCTTATTGTTCTGAAGGTTCATGCTGAGTGTGTAAATTGTCAACCCAAAAGGGAAAGCTGAGATACAGTAAGTGAAGAGTTTATTTGAGCCAGGGCTGAGAACAGTTGGTCCATGTAATAGATTCTGGTTGCTGGAAAGTAAATGTACACTGAGGTTGTTGCCAGAGGATTGGTTTAGGTAATAAAGAAGGCTGGGATGAGGGGATGTTCCAAGTTGTCAAGAGTTTACATTGGTCCATTTAAAAGAACCCAGGCCACTGTGGGGTTATATGTTCTATCATGAATTCTGGGAACATGGTGATGAAAAAGGGGGGGGGGGGTCATGTAAAAATAACCTGTTAGGGAAACAGTCTATTTACTGAAATGCCTTTAAGCAATTAGCCCAGACTTGGATGTGGGTGGTTAACTTAATAAACACTAGCCAAAACTTGTCATTTGGGCAAAAGCACTGGTAGGTGTGGGGGAATAACAGACTTCATGCTATGCTTCTCTTGGGCCAGATAATTTTAACAAAACTTGCATTCCATAAATTATTCTGACCTGCTTCCCTTTCTCAAAGTCTTTTGGCTTCCATTGTGGTGAGTAGTCTTTCTTTTACTCTTGAGACTTCATCAATTCTGAGAAATGTTTTATGTATTAAGCCTTTGATGGTTTCCTCCTATTTCCTCTGTCCTTAAAAGGACTTCTGTTACTTAGATGTCCTACTTCGAGGGAAATTTTCTTAACTTTCTCTTCCCATTTGTTCTGTGGTATAGTTTTTTAAGTTCAGCTATATTTTTTAAAAATGTTTTCTTCCCTGTTTGTATTAAATCGTCCTACTTTTACAGCTTGGATTGGGTTTATTCTCTTAATATTAGGTTTCGTTTTAAGTACATTGAATTTTTAAAATTGATTTGCTTAGGGTATTTTTTAAAAATTTGCATGAAATATTTTTTAGGTTCATTGCAGTAATGATACAGTGTACCAAATAATTTTTCCCATAATGAATACACTATATTGCTTCAGTCAAAGTTATACACATTATCACATTATCATCAATGGGTCATTTTCCATTTTTGTGTCCCTTAGATATTTTGCTTCTTTTTCCCTTTGATTCCCTCCTTTCACTCTTCCCATTTCCCACTCTCCTCCCAAAGTTTTATTTGGCACACTGCATTGTCTCTTTTTTTTGTGTGTTTGCTTGCATTTTGGCCTCTCTATTTATGTACTTGTTTTTTTTTCTTTGTCCACATACCCAGTGTGATTTTCAAGTTGTTGGGTCTGGGACTCCAAGGGCAGTTGACCTTGTGAGAGTCCAACCAACACCTTTACCACCAGGCCACCTGCTAGTCACTGTACCTTGTATTGTAAGCATGCATTCAGGACTGTCTTGCCAATTGTTGGTATCACTCCTACCCTTTTCACTTTTCATGAGACCTTTGCCCTATTGTTTGTGGATGCCCCTTTCATTTTCCATCTTCAGTTATTGTGGTTTCAGGTTACAAATGCATCCTGGGCTCCAGAGGGTCATACAGCGTATTGCCCAACCAACTTCTTGAATTTAGATTCTGTTGAGGAAGACAGTATGCCCTAGGCACATTCATGAGATAGGAGTGGACCTCCCTGGGTGGGGCTTCTTGGAAAGTTTGCCCAAGGGAAGAAATACTGCCCTTTCATTTTCCTTCTTGCCAACACTTCACCTTCTTGGAAGGTGGTGTGGCAACTTTGCAATCATGACGTGATCAAGAGAATAAAAACTGCATGTTAATAGTGGAGACCAGGGGCCAGCAGGTGGCATGGAGGTTAAGGTGCTGGATCCCACATGGCTAACTCCATGGTTCAAATCTCAGAACCAGCAGCTTGAAAAATGCCAGGTATGTGTTATGCATGCCCCAAATCCCAAAAGAGAATGACTGCAGAGTGGTCCATCCTTCCTGGCAAGGAGAGATAGGGGTGGGAGTGATTTCTCACTTTCTCTCTCTTTCTCTGGTGAGTACATGTGCTCTATGGCAAAAATCTAAACAAAACAAAATAGTGGAGAACAGAAGGATAGAAGAAGCTTGAAACATTGATAATGGTGGACCTACTAAATCTGCCTGGACTGCCTAATTCTGGATCTAAATTTATTTAACCTGAGGAAACCTGAATAATGAGGCCTTAAGACTACTGACCTTAGTGATTGCTCAAGAGACTCAATCAGATTAACTGTTGTTATAGCTCGCCTACATCTTAACCACACACATGTACACATATTTATATTTGTTTTTCGGCTTTTTGATTTTAGTTTGCTGTAGGGCACATGCACTCATGTGTGTGTGTGTGTGTGTGTGTGTGTGTGTGTGTGTGTGAGAGAGAGAGAGAGAGAGAGAGGAGAGAGAAATCACCGCTCACATACCCAGCAAGATTTTCAAGCCGTGGGTTGGGACGAGAACCATTCAGTTGGTCATGTGAGATCCAGCTGCCTTAACCTCCATGCCATCCAGTGGCTCTTAACCATAATTGTAATCCTTATCCTTTGTTTATCAATGTTCCCTGGATTCATGATGTGGAGTATGATGTATAGTATAATGTATAATGTACAGTCAGTAGCTACGTTATGTAAACAACTTTGGAATTTACCCTCAACTGCTTTTTTCTTTAAAAATGTCCCCCGCCCCCCATGACCAGCAACAGTCAGGTAGTGCACATATTTAGGGTAACATTTATTGTGACACCTGGTATGCAGTTCCCAACCTCGGCCCAACTCTTTTTTCTATATATATTTGCCTGAGTTTCTTCCTCTTAGGTTGACAAGTCCCTCAGTAACACTTTCTTCAAATCCCTCTCATCTTTCCCACATTGAATCTAAGCGCCTATAGAAAGCACAAGACTTGATATTTTCAATGTTACCTCACCCTCCACATACATGTCTCTTCCCCATTCTCAGTGGAGTACTAGTTCTATTTTATTAAATATAAAGAATTCCATTGCTTCTTCCTTCCCTACAGTGTATAAGGGCTTCCTCCTTTTAAGGCCAGGTTCTACTACAGCTTTTGATCCCACGGTATAAAGGCAAAGGTATCAACTTTGGAGCCAGACAGTTGGGCTCATATCTTATCTGTCACTTATCAGTTGGATAACCTTAGATACATTTGTTTAATTTCTCTGTGCCTCTGTTTTTACCTACGAAATGTAGGTAACAACCTTTTTCATGGAATTGTTACAAGTCAATGCGTTTTATATGTACTATAAGGGATAGGTAATGCCATTTTTCTCATCTGCTTCAGTTCCCTACTTCAACATTTACCCTGCTTATTTCATTACTTCCCCCTCCCCCCAATTACCTTCTACTCCTCAGCCTGAAGGTACTAATGTCTTTTCTACTCCTGTATGCTTTGTCTATGGATATTCTGATCAGTTCTCACCACATCATTGAAATGGTATTTGCCAAAGACCAAAATGATCCTCTGTACACTATGTTGTTGCATCCTCTGAGGGATGGGGGTCAGAAACTTGGGGTCCAGTTACAGCACTAGCACTGTACTAGGCAACAAATAAGGTGGACATGACCCCTGTTCACATAGAGTTTACAGTTGTCTAGCAAGAGAGAAGGAAATCCAATACTTAGAATTCGGATGCACATTTTGCAGGAGGAAGAACTGGGCGTGATAGGGACACATAGAGATTGTGGGATCATGAAAAACAGATCAACAATAAAATATAGTGGAAAACGAGAGGAAAAAACTACCAGAAAAGGTGTCAAGAAATAAGTAACTGTTCTTGGAGGTGATAGCATGGGGGAAGTCGTGGAGAAAAGGATCCACAGCTAATGCTGAACTGAGGGTGCGATGACTAAAGGAAGGAATCAAGGGCTGAATGAATGAAGGAGGAGGCCATCCTCAGAGGGCTGGATAAGCAGATCAGATTCACAATGGCCTGTTGAAATGATAGTTACATGTTGCCTTTGAAAATATGAAGTCATGTGCTTTCTATAGATTCTTTTTTTTTTTTGGAGAGATTTTCACTGTAGGGCGCGTGCGCTCGCCAGACAGACAGAGAGAGACATAGAGACAGAAAGCGAGAAATCGCCCCCCAGGGGGGATGGTCACGCCGCAATCCCTTCTTCTCCATTCTCCTCTCGGGATCTTGGGCATGCACGCACACGCGCCCGGCGTGGGTTTTAAGCCACCAGGTCCGGGACACGAACCGCAGTCGACTACGTGGGAGTCCAGCGACATAGCCATTACGCTAACTGCTGGTTCCCTCTATAGATTCTTAAGAGATTCAAAAGAGAGAGAGAGAGAGAGAGAGATTCTATCTGGGAAGGACAAGTAAACCAGTTTTCTTAAGGTATGACTTCTTGGAGTTTTCAGTATCTCAGAGTACATTTTGAATCTCTGGTCATACTAGAATATTTACCAAAGGAGACTCTTCTGTGGCTACTATTATAAAATATTTACTCTGGGAATGCCTAATACAGAGTTGTAAAAATTAAATGCTAATTTAACTCCAGGCAGCAGAGGGCAATCTTGCCCTCCTTATCAAGATTGATACATCCTTCAGACAAGGTTGAGGTCCGTCAGTTAAAAACATCTTAGTGTTTGCTTGAACTTCAAGAGGACCTTTTTCTTTTTCCTCCAAGATTTATCCCCACTTTTTTTTATCCCATTATTGTAATGAGTCAGCCTTTAAAATTGTTTAAATGTGGGCCCGGCAGTTGGTGTGCTGATTAAGGTGCTGTTCTCCCACATGACTGACGGCAATTTGAGCCATGGACCTGCTTGGCTTGTTTCTCACTTTCTCTTGTGTCTGTCTCTCTCACTCTCAGTCTTTCCCTGTCTGGTCAAATTAAAAAGTAATAATAAATAAAATTAAATAAATAATTATTAAAAATATTTTTCAAGTGAGATGATAAATTCTCATGGAAACATCCTTCTGAGTTGTCCACTCACTGGGGAAGGGCAGGAAATTCAACATCGGCACTTGATCATATTTTTATCTTTTTTTTAAAGACAGATTTTTGGCTATAGGGCACG